TGAAAGGGAAAGGAAAAGAAAGAGCGTAAACCTGCGCACTGCACACTACAAGAAAGCAACCATCTGTGCGACATCAAATCTGGCCTTGTCAACTATCTAAAATTTCTACATGATCAAAGATGTGATTAATTTTTCTACAGTCCGGTGGCACTCTCATATAACACAAACACATGCATACAGTGAAGTAGACAGACGTACGAAACAATTTATTTAACATTCTGACCACGGGCCCGGCCTTCATCAAAATACAGTGCATGGAATGAGTGCTGTTCATTTGCATGTGCATGTCAATGAGCTGAAGATGAGAAAAGTGATATGAAAGGCGATATCTATGGGCAAACATAAAGTGCATGTCACTCGTTTTACAGAGCATCTAATACACGTGTGAAGAGATATCATTAAGCTAACAGGTGGTTTATAAATAAAGGATAAAAATGCGTACAGTATAACATGGGTACAACAGATCCGCTTACAATAGACATTGGGATATTACATACTAATTTGCGGCACTATGCTGACCTCCTTACTTGTTTCATTGATTGATCTTTGTTTATTACTAATTATAGTACAACGAATATTCAAATAGAACGGATTAAAATGTGAGGCTAGCAAGATGGTCAAGACTCCTTTACAGCAGACTTTTCAGCAGCAGACATCCTAAATTCAATAACTTCAGACTTCAAACATCGCTTCACGTACTTTTGGGACGGAAATAGAACGCCGTAGATATCGACGTACCTATTTTAGAATGAGGGTCCTATATCTCCAGTTTTTTAATGATTAGTTATGCCTAGCTACGACGGCAAAAAATTAGTGCACAGCGTGTTTGATTTTGCTTGTTAGGGCATTCACGTGCCAAATTGCTGGCCTCTGCCACCGCTGTTTTGAGCGGTCAGTGTGTGGCTAGCATGGCTGGGGTTCATAATGATGTGCAAGATGCCTAATCTTGCGCATCAGTAGGAGCCAGCGGCCGATGTGATTTGTTGCTTGCGCCGAAGTACATTACGGCTTGTTCGCTTTTGCACATCCGCAAGGGGGACGGTCTTGCCCGCCAAATTCGGGGCGGAGTTGGGCCTAGCCACATCTTCGAGCAGAAAGCGCAGCTGCAATGTGCATGGCCGCGGTGCCCGATGTTTTAAAGTACGAAGTTTTCAATTCAGTACAGAGATCTGTCCCACGATCGTAATCTGAAGACTGGACTTCCGCTTGCAGCTGCTTTAACAATCTGTGAACACCGAACGAGCATAACGAAAATGTCACTATGTACTGCAATTTTAGACAGCCGCGACCTTGCGACGCACAAGAAGCAGATGACGCTATCCCGGAGGCCTATCCGGAATGAGCATCAGACCAGCGAGGTGTACTGGAGCAACACGGCAGAAGCAGCCGATTGGAGGCCTACAAATGAATTTCATACATTTGATTTTCGAACACAGAATGCTCTTTATGAAATACTTTTACGATGAGCCCAAAGTAGTGGTGGGCAGTTGTGCCGTCGCCAAGGTATAAATTTTAAAAAAATACCGTTTTTTTTTGTGTGTGTGTGTTAGTTCCATGATGATTTTCACCACCTCGGCAGGAGCAAGAAACTTTTTACAGCTTTTATATGTAGTTTTCAGTGAAAATATTTTGGAATCAGATAAAAAAGGGCCACAGACACTGAAGAATGATCTACAAAAAATCAACTTTGTTATGCCCCATTTCAAATTAATTTGTGTACGACTTGTGATTCTCTCCAGTAATAACAGACCCATTCAGTGTTCCTATAAAAGTCTGCTGTAACAGTACATGGACTTGAACAGCAGCAATCTACAATCATGCACATTGGCACATTCTATTGCATCATCTGTTAATTGTGGCGGTTAGTTTTGTTTGACTAGACCATCTTTTAGTGTTATGCACTTTTTCAAAACTTGAATCGCTCTGAACAGATTCTTTTGAAGCGTAAGGCCTGACTCTAAGGAATGCAGTCTTGCAATGTTTCAAGTGGCTACTATCAAAGTAGAAATACTGATACTGGTCTGTTGGCTTTCTGTAGAGGGCAAAGGATAGTTCATTGTTTACTACCGAAATGCTAGCATCAAGGAAACCAATTTTAGCTGCTGAGTAGCTGTGAGAATATATTTATAAGTGGGCATCGTTAAAGTTGGATATGAAGGAAAGCAAGTCCTGTACATCGTTCGTCTAAATAAGAAAAATTTCATCGATGTAACATTTATAATAGAAAGGTCTCAGGACACGGGTTTGCAATAGTTTGCTTTCAAGCTAGCCCGTAAATACGTTTGTGTTCTCACCATTTTTGCATTGTGCATTCACAACGCTTGGCATGTTTTTGGTGCATCATCCCTTAGAGCAGTTCTAGCGATGCGATGCTGTGTATTGTGCTAAGCATACATGATCCATGGCAACCTCTCCAAACATTTGCAGATCGATGCCACAGAAAGAGGCAGTAAAATACAGAAAACATCGAAATTGTGTGCACCACCTGCCATGGGCATGTGATGTGAATGTAACCTTGCGTGTGCATGATGTGTCGGATGTGTTTGCGTTGTGTGTTCAAGAGGGCAGGAAAAAAATTTGGCTTGTGAAATATACACTGGCCGAGTGGCAAATGTTTCATGCTTACCTCTTCATATGCATTTGCGGCTTGCTATGAACAAATAAAGAACTGTAGTGGTAGAAGCTTTTCATTGGGCATGCAATGACTTACAGTGTTTAGGTAACATTTCCCATGTGACCTAGAGAAGTACCGTTTAACAATTGTATAACAAACAAGACAAGAACAGCACGCACATTTCTTTTTTGATCTACACTCTACTTTCTTCTGATGACGCTCCATGGTTTTGGATTCATTCTTAGTCCTGCGGCTGCACAGGAGCACCTGCTGTTCCCTACGCATGCGAGCAGACGACGCGAGGTGGATGAATACACATGTAGAGGGTAATCAGCCTTGCTATTAGCTACAGGGCTTTGTAGCCTTCACAGTGCTGAAAGGAACTTATCAGGTGGAGTATAGATTGCACCCTATAGAATGCCAGGTGCTCAATTTTGCCCGGTAACATGAATACCGGTCTCAAACTGTACTCTACAGCAAACTTTAAGGTTAAGTAGCGTTCATATAGACACCAATTTTGAAAATAGGCATTTATAGGCACTTATAAAAGTTTAGGCATACACGTCAAAAATAAGCATTTGCAGGCACTATAAAAACACTACAGATGCTGTTCTTAACCTCTAATGCAAGAAACAAAATAGGCATTTGCCTAGTAATTCGGTCTCTAGTCATCAGTATACATAAAGACTTTTGTGAATTTAAGAGCTTGCAGTAGATTGTTTATGCATAAAGAGAAGAGAATGGGGCCCAAAACCGATTGCAGTAGGTGGTTGCAGTAGATCTGCATGCAATGAAACAATGCTACTGCGGGCACATAATGTTATTGTCGAAAAGTTCATTTAGTTGTAGTGCAATAAATTTTCCTAATAGGGTATTCACTGTACTGAGAATAGTTAATAGTCTACAACTGCCTGGCTGGCTTAGGTCTCCAGATTTGTACATAGGCCATCCTACACTATGCAAGTCTATAGCTTCTCACATTAGTCAACCAGTGTGCTATAAATACTTGACTGCACAAACTAGCTTGCTTAACCTCACGTCTAAGATTGCTAAAACAGTCACATGTATGCCAGACTTTTTGTATTAGCAATAGGGCCCAGATGTAAGGCTAGTAAATACCTTCAAGGTTACAATACAAAAAATACTGGAAGTGGTTATGGGCATGAAATGAAATTCAGTTTAACCTTTGCTATTTGAAACTCTACTAACAAGATGGAGTCTCCACTGTGTCACAAATAAAACGCTGGCAAAAGATGACAATCAAACGCACAGACAAGGCAAAGAAACTGCTGGAAGCGATGATGCAACATTTCAACACTTTGAGGCATAGTTTATGTGAACTGAAACTTGATTTTCTTTATAAAAGTTCCACTCCCCCAATGAGTAAAAATACAGCGAAGCCTTCGTTATATGCTAGCCAGTTTTTCGATGACCCACATTTTGAGAGAAATCACTTCCGTCCTATCAAAGCTAATTTTATGCCACCCCTCATTGTGTGATGAGTCTCTAATACTGTCAAAAAAAGAAAAAGAAAAAAGTCTTTAATGCTTTTGGTCACTATATTGAGGTGAAGGAATGACACTACACGTAATCTTTTTGACTAATGTCTCTCGGATCAGGCTTTGGGAAGCCAACTGTCAACTATGAACCAGGCCCAGCGAGCCGCTATAGACATAGAGCTTCCTAAATACACACTAGAGGGAACTCAGGCCCTAGTGTCTATAGGAGCTGTATCGCACGATGCTTCAGCGAGCATGGGAATGATGGGTAGTACACGGATTTGTCTAATCTTCGTTCTTTTGGCTCTGTGTGAGTTCGTGTGGCTTGAAGATGGTTTCTTACAAAACGAAAATTAGCAAATGTTCAGTAGTTGTGCTTCTCCACCTTATTCTTTTGCTTACCAATATAAATCATCTCAATAAGTTCAAAAGTGTTCATTCTTTTCTTCGAACCAAAACTGAAACACAGCAACAAACTAAGCCACAAGTGCGATTCACCGCCCGCAAGTGTACTACCCATCAGTTTTATGGTCACTGAACGATCGCAGGGCCAGAGTCTTCTCTAGTTACCTTTAGGAAACTCTATGGCTATAGCCAGTGCAGCTCTGGACGAAGAGCCCCACCCACTTTAGTTACTAATAGGAAGTTTACCAAGAAATGTTTAATTTCTCTCGCTGAAGCTGCTGCTATCACGTAGCTCGGATACCGTGCAATGGTAAGTCTGGTGACTTTGTGTTCAACGCTATGTCGTACTATGTGGGTGCAAGAATTGCAGCGCTGATGCTACAGGGAACAGTGTCATTTTTTACTGCTTTTGACAGTAGAGTAGAAGTGCCTAATTGTAATTTATGTGAAAATTTACACCCATATGCTTCTGTGCCATGCAGGTAGATCCTCAATACCCATTTTACCACGGGGCGCGAGTTGACATCAAAGCAGACACACGGCTTTGCATGACAACTTCTGAGGCAGAGCAGTTCTCCGAGCAGATCCGTAAGTTTTCTTGCCATCTTCACATAGCACGCATAAAAACTAACTGTGGGGCATACAAAAGCTATACAACTCAAGCAGAAGCACAGAAACGCGTGGTTTCAAGTGCATGCTCGTTTAGCTGGAACTGTCACAATCACCAAGCCAAGTGTCATTGATAAAAAGAATGTGCGAGAGCCTCTTATGCAGGGTGTGATGTGTACCAAGTGCTAGGGAGATTTTTATTTTTTTTTTTTGCATGTGGCTGAGTCAGAAAATTGTACTAATTGAGGCTATTTTTCTTTCCCTTTTTTTTGTGCGAGACGTGTCTAACTTGGTTGTGTGCTCTGTAATGTGTTGTCACGGGTCAGGTGATTCTGTGACCAGGTAGAATTCTGTCAACATTAAAGGGCCCTGCAACACTTTTTCAAGTAGCTATGAAATAGATTTACAGAACAGCTTATTGGCTGACAAATTCTGCCTCAAGAATTCAAAGAATCCGTCCAGTACGAGCGGAGTTATGAAGCTTCGTCGCATGCTGCTATTGTATTCTGTCTTCTCTCGTTGCACGAAAGTGCTGGAAGTTAAGCAGGGAGGAATGGTACGGGAAAAGAAAACATGTCAAGCACACCTCGTGACCTTGAGCACATTTCTATTTTTGTTGTTGTGTATTGATGTTAGCCGCTGAAGTCAACATACTGTGCCGTCTGGTCATGCAACCCTGTATTTGAAGAGCGCCACCTGCTAGGTTAGATGTAAATATGTAAATATGTAACGGCATAACGCCAGTTATGTTCAGCCTTGTGTTTGGTTTCGTGATGGCAACAAAAATGCATTGCTGATATCGCTTGGTGCCTACACTGCCACTTCATCTGACCCATGGCTATTTAACATTGTTGACGAGAATGGGACGCAACAGAAAGTCAACGAACGCTGCCGCAAGGGAAGCTAGCCCCTGTGTGTACTCGTCATGGTCACAGCTGTCATCGCAGCTGGGATCAAGGCTTTCGGCATTGGCCCTCGAAAGAATGGGAAGACTATGTGTAACGTTTCGAATTCTTCTTGGAGACACAGAGCATCACAGATGCTGCCAAGAAGACATTTCTCAGCTTGGGGTCCCGCTACTTTTCAGCTGGCCAAAGCGCTAGTGGCCCCAAATCACTTAAAGGATATGAGACTCGAAAGGATTCTCGCTGCACTGTGGAACCACTTTGCGCCGAAAGCACCAGTGCTGACCTGGGGTTACGGCTTTCACCGCCTCGACCAGGCGCCGAGTAAGTCGGCTGGAGTCTACCTCGCTGTCCTGCAAACAACGGCATAACACTATGACTACAATGACCTATTTGTGTTCTGGCTACAAATGACGTGGTGAAGTGGCAACTACTGGCAAAAATAGAGGTATCTCTTAACAGTGTTGTCGAGGAAGTAGTGGCCACTGATTCCATTACCCAAGAAGAATACTTTACCTCGCCCCAAAGCACAGGCGCGCCGCGTGTCGAGCCAGTTCTCCACAGTACAACAAGCGATACGACGACAAGTGATAGTGAAGACGTCCTCCAGCTTAGCGCATGCCTCAATCAGCAACAGGGCATCTAGAGATTTTTAAGTGGCTCCTGCATCAGCTGCAAAGTCTTACACGAACGCCACCTGTGTCGATTCTGTGATGGTCCCAGTGGGAGTCTGGCCCACGTTGGAAGCAAGCCGATGGCCGAACTCTGCATTCCAAGAACATTCCTCGCACAAACATAGCGAACTGCGACGAGTTGGCGGTGACTGCTATGAACACAGTGTCTCAGCCTGCAGAGAAGCATACGCGACTCTCCTCCTTCCCTCTCTCCAACAGCTGCGCATTACTCTCTCCACTTTTCTCCTACCACCTGCTTGCACTTGCTCCCCCCTCTCTATCCTCTAGGCATCTCTCTAGGCGTTGAAGGCCAACTCTAAAAATTTTTCGAGGTCAACTGATCTCAGTGAAATTCACTGGGTACGTTCATTTGCACATTTGCGCTATTCATGCCGAATTGCAGTTTTGGGAGTTTCGCAGATTCTTTCAAAATGAATTTTATAGCTTGCCGCTAAATTCTTACCACGCTTGCCAGAATTAATAGCAACATCGTGTATGTGATGATTTTTTGCAAACGGAAGTGATGTAACTGATATGCCACTGCAGCATCTGCTTGCCTGCTAAGAATTGTGCATGTTCGGTCGAAGCTTCCTCTACTGAGTGTGCTATTTTTTTTTCGTGTGGGTGGGCATGCGATAGGTGGCAAGTGTTGGGTTGTGAGCCACACATGATTTGCCATATACAGTCAACTGTCGATTTTTCGGACACCCGAATTTCGGGACATGCCCGATAATTCGGGCATCTTCGTTGCACCGCCACGAGCCCCATAAAATCAATGTATAAGGAAGTCTGAAATTTCGGATGCCCAAACCTCTCGGAGTCCAATTTTCTGGACTTTCTGACGTGACGGAAGGCCGGAAACCACCATCCAGTGGAAACCACCACAACAGCGTCGGATCGAGGTGAATGTGATCACATGCAAGCGGAACGCCGTTCAAACAAGGATCAACAAGTTTTTCAAGCCACTGCAGCTCTGACACCAGCTGCCCTGACGGCACCCGCTGTTGGCTGCATGCATTTTTTTTTAACGGCTCTTTTCAGAGCCATCCCACTGATGCTTTGGCAGAGTTCCGAAAGTCTGGTACCTCGACCTTGACCATCTTGATCCGAGAAATATCAGTGAAATGGTGCATTTTTCGCTTGCATTGAGAAATATTAGGAAAATGGTGCGTTTTTTTTTCCTTGCATTGAAAATTATCAGTAAAATAATGCGTTTTTTTTTTTGCTTGCATTCATTTTTTCGGACTGCCCAAATTTTCGGACGGTTTTTCGCTCCCTAGAGGGTCCGAAAAATCGGCAGTTGACTGTATTCAACATAATAGCATAAGTGTTTTAGCCGATCACCGCAGGCACAAACTTGGACGGCCTGGACAAGTAGTGCCATCTGGAGGCATTATGCGCAACAGGCAGGTTCTTGCAAAGCATTACGTCATATGTAAAAGCACACTTGTTTGGATTTCGGTTTCCTTAAAACGGTTTATTGCTAATGAAAAATCATTTTTGAATTTATTGCACATTTAAGCTATCGAGCATGTGACAAGAGTGTCTACAAAACATAAAAGCACCATTACCCTGAGATGGTAAAAAAAAAATCGCCAAAGTTGGCCTTTAAAACCCCCATTGCACATGCGCGTACCCTTCGGCTCTCCTCTTCTGCGCTCGTCCCCTCTTGCCTCGCAACGCCGATGCAGGCATCGTCTGCTAGCGTGCCTCTTAATTGAAAAAACCGACTGCTCACCGTTCACCCCGTATATATTGTTACGGGGAGATGGCGTCTGACAAATCGCTCAGACGCCGGCAAGCAATCTCACGTGCCTCTAGAGCTCTAGAGATCACATCGCGGGCATATTTTGACGTGTGGCCAATGGCAGGAAGGAGCATGTCAAAAGGCAACGTAGGTTCTCGTCCGTACAGGATGAAAAATGGCGAGAAAGCTGCAGTGTCATGCCAACACCTATTATACGCAAACATTACAAATGGAAGGGCGGAGTCCCAGTCACGATGGTCGGAAGAAACGTACATGGAGAGCATGTCCGTGATGGTTCTATTTAGCCGCTCTGTGAGCCCGTTGGTTTGAGGATGATACGCCGTTGTGAACTTATGCTTTGTAGCGCAAGAGTGTAATATTTTTCGGATAACTTGTGATAAAAAGTAGCGACCCCGATCGGTAAGCAGTTGCCGAGGAGCGCCGTGGCGTAATATGATGTCTTCTAGAAGAAAGTCAGCGATGTCGGTCGCACAACTGGTAGGAAGGGCTCGCGTGATGGCATACCGAGTGGTGTAATCCGTGGCGACTGCTATCCACTTGTTTCCGCTGGCCGATTAAGGGAACGGTCCTGGTAAGTCAACACCTACCCTATAAAATGGTTCCGATGGGATCTGAATGGGCTGAAGGCGTCCCGCTGGAAGGGTTGCTGTTTTTTTGCGGTGTTGACAGGATTTGCATGAGGCGACGTAACGGCAGACGGATCGGTAAATACCGGGCCAAAAGAAGCGACGTCGAACGCGGTCATAAGTTCTAGAAACTCCCAGGTGACCAGCCGTCGGAATATCATGCAACTGTGCAAGGACAGTCTGACGCATATGTTGTGGTATGACCAACAGCAGCTCAGGTCTGTCAGGATGCATGCTGTAGCGATATAAGACGCCATCTTGTAGCAGGAACATACGGAGAGATGGAGGAGTTGTGGGACCACTAAGCCGAAGGATTATATCTCTGAGGTGAGGATCACGGCGCTGCTGATCTCCGATGTTGCTAAACGCGGAAAGTGCCAAAACGCAAGTAGGCTCATCGCTCTCAGAAAGGTCTGCTGGGTCTACTGGATGACGCGACAAGCAATCAGCATCCTCATGGTGGCGACCTGATTTGTAGACGAACGTGTAGGAATATTCCTGTAGCCGTAGAGCCCACCGGCCGAGACGTCCATTAGGATCTTTTAAGGGCGACAATCAGCATAAGGCGTGGTGATCAGTGACAACCGTGAACGGGCGTCCATACAAATACGGCCGAAATTTAGCCACTGCCCAGACGAGCGCGAAGCATTCGCGTTCTGTGATGGAGTAATTTCGCTCTGCTAGCGATAAAAGACGGCTAGCTTATGCAATAACGCCCTCGCAGCCATGCTTTCTTTGTGCCAAAATGGCTCCGATTCCGTGGCCGCTGGCGTCGGTACGCACTTTCGTTGGAGCGCATATATCAAAGTGGCCGAGAATCGGTGGTGTCGTAAGTCTACTCGTCAGTTCAACGGATTCCGGTAACATGGGCGGTTGTTCGGTCCGCGGGACATACTAGGTGTACTGGGCAGCCGGTAGTCAGGTCGGTTAACGGGGCATAGCGCCTGAAGTCCGGCGTTGGCAAGTTCCTGGCGTACGACACTCTTGATCAAAGAAATCGTGGCGC